ATTTTTAATATTTATTTTTTGGTTCTCGGCAGACACAACATCTTTGTTGGTATGTGGTGCTGAGGATCGAACCCGGGTCGCACGCATGCCAGGCGAGCGTGCTACCGCTTGAGCCACATCCCCAGCCCCAGCATCTAGATTTTAAAAAATACTTACCTATATGACTTTTCCTTTTTAAATTTGTTTTTATAAAAATGGGCCATTGTACGCATACTGTTTTGGCAACTTGCATTTTTCTTTCTTTCTCTTTTTTTTTTAATTTTTTTTTTTTAGTTGTAGTTGGACACAATATCTTTATTTTATTTATTTATTTTTAAGTGGTGCTGAGGATCGAACCCAGGGCCTCACATGTGCTAGTCGAGCACTCTACTGATGAGCCACAATCTCAGCCCCCCCTTTTTAAAAAACATTTATATTTTAGTTGTAATTGGACACAATACTTTTATTGACACAATACCTTTATTTTATTATTTATTTTTATGTGGTGCTGAGGGTTGAACCCAGGGCCTCTCATGTGCTAGGTGAGCATTCTACTGCTCAGCCATAACTCCAGCCCCAACTTGCATTTTTCATTTGGGGAGGCAGGTAAGTATAATGGTTAAAAGGCTTGATTCTGAGGGGCTGGAATGTGGCTTAGTAGTCCACTTGCCTGGCATGTGTGAGGCACTGGGTTCAATTCTCAGCACCACATGTAAATAAATGAAAAAAAGGTCTATCAACAACAAAAAAAATATATTTAAAAAAAAAAAAAAAGGCTTCATTCTGAGCCAGTCCACCTGGTTTGAATCTGGCTTTACACCAGTTAGCTGTATGATTTTGGATAGGCTTTTTAACCTTTGCACCTGTGTTACTCATCTGTAAAATGTGAATAATGATAGTATTGACCTCATGGAGTTGTTATAAGGATTAGATGAGCTAATATTCCAAAAATGCTTAAAATAGTGCCAAACACGTAGTAATGTTCAATAATTGTTGTCTTCTTTATTGTTTAATAGTATATATAAAACATGATCATTCCAAGTTTGATCTTCAGCACCATAAAAATAACAATAAAAAAATCATTGTAGAAGAAGTAAGAAAAACTAAAAGCAAAACTGAGAATGAAATTAAAAGTATTAACAATGTATACTTAAAAATGGCTTTTATAATAGATATCCTTTGAGATGTTTTCAAATATAGATGTGGCCAGGCATGGTGGTACATGCCTACAGTCCCAGCAACTCAGGAGGCTGAGGCAAAAGGATCACAAGTTCAAGGCCAGCCTCAGCAATTTAGTGAGAATCTGTCTCACTAAATGTGCTAAAAGTGTTGGGGATGTAGTTTGGTGTTAAAATGCTCCTGGGTTCAGTCCCTTGTTACTAACCCCTACAAAAAAAAGAAAATATAAATGTGTATACACAGCATATAAATATATATACATTTTTTAAATTTTTATTTTTTATTTTCTAATTAGTTGTATATAACATTATAATGCATTTTGACATAATGTACACAAATGGAGCACAACTTCTCATTCCTCTGGCTATACACGGTGCCAAGTTACTCCAGTAGTGTAATCGTACGTGTATATAGGGTAATAATGTCTGTCTCATTCTATTGTCCTTCCCATCCCCACAGCCCCACCTCTCCATTCTTTCCCCTGTACACAAACCAAAGTTCCTTCATTCTTACCTACCCACCGCTCACCCCACTATGGATCAGCATCTCCTTATCCGAGAAAACATTCAGCCTTTGGTTTTTTGGGATTGCCTTATTTCACTTAGCATGATATTCTCTAGTTCCAACCATTTACCTGCGAACGCCATAATTTCATTCTTCTTTAAAGCTGAGTAATATTTATTATGTATATGTACCACATTTTCTTTATTCATTCATCTGTTGAAAGGCATCTAGGTTGGTCCCACAGTTTAGCTACTGTGAATTGAGCAGCTGTAAACATTGATGTGGCTGTTGTCATTGTAGTATGCTGATTTTAAGTCCTTTGGGTATAAACCAAGGAGTGGGATAGCTGGGTCAAATTGTGGTTCCATTCCAAGTTTTCTGAAGTATCTCCATACTGCTTTCCATAGTGATTGCACCAATTTGCAGTCCCACGAGCAATGTATGAGGGTACCTTGTTCTCTACATCCTCGCCAATACTTATTGTTGCTTGTATTCTTGATAATTGCCATTCTGACTGGAATGAGAATGAATATATTTTTGTTTTTAAACAAAAATAGAACTATGGCATATAAGATATCTGTAAATAATTATATAAACAATAAATGTTAAGTAAATGTTACTGATGAGAAATAATTATGTCAAGTCATATGAATGCTACATGATATTCAATTTTATGGATTTAAGAAATTCTATTTATGATATTTCTGATATTTTGCTACTATACAGTATATACTAGATTCATTTCTTTTTGTACCCTTGGGTAATTACTTCCTTAGGATCAGTTTCTCTAGGTAGAATTGTTAGATAGAAGAGTGTATACTTTTTAGTATATTTACCAAGTTTATGTCATAATTCAATTGTATCAACCTTTTCTTGCAAGAGTACATTTTTTCTAGGCCTTGCTATAGTATGTAATATCTTAACGTGTGTATTTTATATGCCACACATGACATATATAGCACATGACACATGAAGTAAATATTTTCTATACATTCTTTCACAATTTAATATAATTATAGATATATTTGAATTGTGAATACTACACAAACAAATATTTCCAAGGGTACAGAGAAATAGAAAAATTAAAATACCCCTCTTATCTCTATGCCTTAGTCCCTGCTTCTCAGCAGCAAACACTGTTAGCAATTTCCTGTGTATCCTCTGGAGAGTTCCAAACACATAGAAGCATGTGCACACATATATATTGGGTTTTTTTTTTTTTTTTTTGCACACATGGAGGCATACTTTACATGTGTTATTTTGCAGTGACCTCATAACTGTGATATGTATCATCTGCAGGTTTTTATCTAGTGCATTAAAGGCACTAATTATTATTGTTACTGGTTTTGATACTGGGGTCTTTACCATTGAGCTACATTTGCAGCCCCCTTTTTTTTTTTTTTTTTTGGTACTGGGGATTGAACCCAGGGCATTTAACCACTAAGCCACGTTCTTATCCCTTTTTTATTTTTTATTTTGAGACAGGGTCTTGCTAAGCTGCTTAGGGTCTTGATAAATTGCTGGTGTTGGTTTTGACCTCAAGATCCTCCTGCCTCAGCCTCCCGACTTGCTGGGATTACAGGTGTGCACCACCTTGTCTGGTTAAAAGCGCAAATGATTTTATTTTTTTTTCTGATTAATTTTTTTGTTTGTGTGTTTTTGGCACTGTCGATTGAACTGAGGGCCTTTTGCAACTTGCATGCTAGGCAAGCACTCTACCACTGAGCTACATCCCTAGCTCCTCTTTGACTTTTATGAGCCCCTTTTCTCCAGGATTTTCTTCTACTTTTTTTTTTTTTTTCCCAGTATCAGAGATTGAACTCAGGGGCACTCAAGCACTGAGCCACATCCCCAGCCACTGGGATTACAGGCACCACCACTGCACCTAGCCCCCCCAAAATTTAAATATGTATATATAAAGCAAACTATAAAATACATGTAAAATGTTAGTATTTGGAGATCTGGATGAAGGGGATATGGAAATTCTTTGTACTGTTCTTAATACTTCTCTGTAAATCTGAAATCAACAAAATAAAGTTAAAACATTGACAATGGGGATATAGCTCAAAGGTAGAGTACTTGCCTAGCAAGTGTGAGGCCCTGGGTTCAATCCCCAGCACCATACAAAAAAGTTAAAATATATAAATTTAGCCTAGTATAGTGGCATACAACTATAATCCCAGCAACTTGGGAGGCTCAGATAGGAAGATTACAAGGTAGAGGCCAGCTTCAGCAATTTAATGAGACCCTGTCTTCCTATAAGGAAGAAAAAGGGCTGGGGATGTAGTTTAGTGGTAAAGAACTTCTGGGTTCAATCCCTAGTACCCATCCCAAATGGTGGGGGGTGGCGATTGTACTTTAGGCAAGGCAGAATCCAGGACTTTACTGAATATTATGAAAATTATGAATATGATTTCTTACTTTATATCAACCTCTTTTTTTTTCTTTTTTGTGGTACTGAGCATTCAACCAAGGACCTGCTAGATAAGTTCTGTACCTTTGAGCTATGTCACCAGCCCTTCATTTTTATAAGCAAGCTAATGGCAGAGATGGTCCCCAGCTACTCTGGGTGGTTCATCCTGTCAACTGTGACCCCAGGGAAGGGCTTTCTTGATAGTACCAGTAAAGGTTCTTGGCAACAGTCTCACCGTCTTGCTTTGGGCTACATGTCCATTGGAACCATGATATGATTCCTAAAAGAAAATTGTAGTGTTATTTAAGAAAACAGGATACTAGGGGCTGGGGTTGTGGCTCAGTGGTAGAGCGCTCGCCTTGCACGTGTTCAGCACCACATAAAAATAAATAAAAAAATAAAGATATTGTGTCCATGCATAACTAAAAAAACAAACAAACAAACAAACAAACAAACAAAAAAAACCCAACAGGATACTAGATAGGCAAAATATGGAGTTCATTGTATCATCGTTACTGTGAAGCTCCCAGTTAAAGCAACATTTAAACTGGGCATAGTGGGGCATGCCTGTAATTTGTAGTTTGACGCAGGAGGATCACAAATTTGAGGCCAGTCTGGGTGACTTAGCAAAGACCCTGTCTCAGAATGAAAAGAGAAAGATCTGGGATATAGTTTAGCATTAAAGAACTCTGGATTCAATCCCTAGTACCAGACCAAAACAAATCAAAGCAAAACAAAAAACACCGAACACTTTATTGATTTGTTTTATGTAAGTAATTGGGCTTCAGTACTACATTGAATATAGAAAGGGACATGAATTCCTACTTTAAAGGAACTTTTAATCAAGTGTAGGTTGAGCATCCCTTATCCAAAATGCTTGGGACCCAAATTTCTGGATTTGGGATTTAATTGGATTTTGGAATGTTTTCATGTGTACAATGAAACATCTTGGGGATGGGACCAAGTCTAAACATGAAATTTGTTTTTATTTTATATACATATATCCCAAACCTAATATCTTTCTTTTCCACCCCCTGTACTGGGGTTTGAACCCAGGGGTGCTGGWCCACTAAGCTACATCCCCGGCTCTTTTGATTTTGAGACAGGTTCTCCATAAGTTGCCCAACCTGTCCTTGAACTTCCAATCTTCCTAGTTCAGCTTCCTGAGTTGCTGAGATTACAGGCATGTACCACCATGATTGGCATAGCTCATTATATATATCTTTAGTGTAACTGTGTTTTGATTGTGACCTATCACATGGGATCAGGTATGGAATTTTCCATTTGTAGTACTCAAAAAGTTTTGGATTTTGGAGCATTTAAGATTACAAGTTATGGCAGCTCAACAATTTAGGCTTGGGAAGGTTTTGTAGCTGTCCCTGTGCTATACAGCTAATTTGTAAGAGTAAGCATGTGAATCTAGTTCATTTTGACTTAACACAGTGCTGTACTTGTGCTCGTACGTGACCTTTCAAGGCCTCTGTCCACTTTATCCCTCTTCCTTTTTTTTTCCCCCCTGGTGCTGGAAATTGAACCCAGGACCTCGCTCATGCTAGGCAAGTACTCTATCACAGAGCTGTACCCCAGCCCTTAAATTAAATTTCTTATGTCAGCTTTTATTTTTTTCCCCTAAATTACTGGTACTTATTAGACTCTTAATAAATATTTGTTGGATAAATGAATTAATCTTGGCAATGAGTTCATTTTCACCACATTGTGGTAGACTTTCTGAACTGGCCTCTTTTTTCTCTGTTGTTTCTTCCAGGATCTGGGTTTCAGTGATGAGACATGGGGTATGATGTAACCCGTTTCCAGGGGGATGTTGACGAAGATCTTATCTGCCCTATTTGCAGTGGAGTCTTGGAGGAGCCAGTACAGGTGAGTTGGCTGCATGGTGGGTTTAGTAGGGCAAGAGGTAGCAGTGGAACTAGTAGAAAATGTTCATGAGGAATGGAATCCATGGGGAAGTCACTATGTTTTACTTCCCCTCCTCAACCTTAATAGAGGTTAGGTTCAGAGGAGCAGTGGTGGCTCCAAGAATAATAGGGCCTTCCAGAGTCTGTCCAGAGATGGGTGCCATAGATCCCCTGCTTCAGATTTTCTTATAAGGTTGCTCTAAGATATTTCTGCTGTAAAATAGTCAGTAGCTTGTTTTTTCTTCTTTTTTACTTTTATAATTCTGAGGATCAAATTCAGGGCCTTGCATATGCTAGGCAAGTGCTCCACCATTGATCTACAATCCCCAACCTTTACTTTATTTTAGGCAGGGTCTCCTTAAGTTGCTGAGGCTGGCCTTGAATTTAGGATCCTTCTACTTAAGCCTCTTGAGTAGTTGAGATCACTGAGGCAATGTGTGCTTTTGTTACCCAACTGTTTGTTTCTTCTGGCAGTGGCTTCGTAACTGCCTCTTGTCTGCAGGAACTGTGACTAGATTCCTCTTCCTTTCCATGCTTGACCTTCTGGACTCCTGATAAGTTCTCTCTGAATTTTGATGATGTAGTGTTCCTGATAATCAGCTAGTCTCTCTGTAGACCTCTTTTATTAACACATAGGAAGTGGGAACTACATTTACTGATGGTTTCTTCCAGGGATCTATTAAATAGATCAACTTTTGTACAGCCATGCATTCTGCAATTTGACAGGAAAGCTGTTGGCATCCGTAGGTTATTTTTTTGCTAGCCTTGCCCAACCAGAGTCACTCATACCTTCTTAGGGCAAGTTTGAGAAGAAGCTTAGTATTACCAGTTAAATATGAGTAAGGTGATTCCTTAATTGTTACATTCATGGGACATCATCCTACATGATCCTTATTACCCTCATTCTGTAAATACCAATTAATCCTCTGCCACTCCCAGCCAACTAGAGGTAATCCCATTTTCCAAACAAGGACACTAGTCAGTGAGGTCTCATATTTACTGCTTATATAACTCCCAGGGACTCCTCCTTGAACCTTTGAATTGATTATTTTTCTCCAGTTTCCAATCATCCAAAGAAGCACATATGGTTGAGCTGAATAAAATTCAGACTACATTCCAAAAGCAGCCCTCCATTGACTATCCCCTTTCTAGGTCTTCGCAGCCTACTGTTATTAGAGACATATTGGATAGGTGTGGAGTGAGCTATCCTTATGATGTCCAGAGATCATGGGGTGTGTCGGGTTCCCTTCCCTCTCTGACAGGGCCTTGTCTGTTTTCTGTTGGTGTCGTTTGAAGCAAGACACTTATAAAGAGGTGAGTGTTAGTTAGAAACCATCTATCCGCCTCTAAGATTTACCTTCTAAGGAGCAGGGGAGGCAACCTTTGTGATACTAGGCATAGTTCCAAGGGTGAAGGCCCCTGCTAAGGATGTTAATGCCATGCCATAGTTTGTTTGTTTTTGTAGTACTGAAGATTGAAACCAGGTATGCTTTCCTACTGAGCTATATCCTCCATCCTTTTAATTTTTTTTTATTTTCAGCCAGGGTCTCTCAAAGTTGCCTAGGTTGGTCTGTAGCTGTGATCCTTCTGCATCAGCCTCCTGAGTCACTAGAATTACAGGYGTATGCCACTGCACGCAGCTGTTTGGTTTTTTGGTTTTGTTTTGTTTTGTTGCTAGAACCCAGGGCCTTGTACATGCTAAGCATACTCCCACCACTGAGCTATACTCCCAGCTCTTTTTTTTTTTTTTTTTTAATTTTTTTTTGGGGCTGGGGTTGTGGCTCATCAGTAGAGCACTCACCTAGCCCACGCAAAAGGCACTGGGTTTGATCCTCAGCACCATATAATAATAAAATAAATTTTTTAAAAAAGGTATTGTATCCAACTACAACTAAAACAAAATATTTTTAATTGATTTTTCAAATAAATGATAGTGGAAAACAACTCTATACAAAAGGTTGCTCAATTCTTGTTATACATAGCACAATTTTTCATATCTCTGGTTGTATATAAAGTATGTTCACACCAGTTTGTGTCTTCATACATGTACTTTGGATAATGATGTCCATCACATTCTGTTGCTATCCACATCACTTGCTAACCAAAATAAAATATTAAAAAAATTTTTTTATTTGTAGATGGACACAATATCTTTGTTTTATTTATTTTTATGTGGTGCTGAGGGTTGAACCCAGTGCCTCACATGTATGAGGCAAGTGCTTTACCACTGAGCTACAACCCCAGCCCCCAGCTCTTTATTTATTTTTGGAATAGGTATTACATTTATATGGTTAAGAAATCAAAATAGTGGGTTGGGGATATAGCTCAGTTGATAAGAGTGCTTGCCTCGCAAGCACAAGGCCCTGGGTTCAATCCCTTTAATCCTGGGCACCACAAAAAAAATAATAATAATAAAATAAAAATAGTATAAAAAGATGGCTGGGCATGGTGGCACACACTTATAATTTCAGCAATTCTAGAGGCTGAGGCAGGAGGATTCCAAGTTTGAAACCAGCCTCAGCAACTTAGTGAGGCACTAAGTGGCTTATCAAGACCCTATCTCAAAATAAAACAAAAGGGCTGGGGATATAGCTCAGTTGGTAGAGTGCTTGCCTCACATGCATAGGRCCCTGGGTTCAATCCCCAGCACCATACACACAAAAAAAGGGACGGGGATGTGACTCAGTGGTTAATCACCCCTGAGTTTAATCCCTGGTACCAAAAAAAAAAAAAAAAATAGTGAGAATTCTCACTTCTGTTCTTATCCCTGTTTACCTATTTTTATTAATTTATTTGGGGGCTGGGGATGTGGCTCAAGCGGTAGCGCGCTTGCCTGGCATGCGTGCGGCCCTGGTTCAATCCTCAGCACCACATACAAAGAAAGATGTTGTGTCCGCCAAAAACTAAAAAAAAAATAAATAAATATTAAAATTCTCTCTCTCTCTCTCAAAAAAAAAAAAAATTTATTTGGTATCCCTCCAGTGAGTATTTAGATAGATGTGTGGGGGGAGTATACAACTCTACAAAAGGTTGCTCATTCTGTACACTTCTGTAGCAATGGTGGGTTTGAATTAGGATAATCATTGAAGGAGGTGAGAGTTGCAATTCACAATAGCCAAATTATGGAATCAATCAAGATGCCCATCAGTAGATGGGTGAATCAGGAAATATATATATCAAGTATATATACACAGTGGAGTTTTAGCCATAAAGAAGATGGAAATAATGGTATTTGCTGGTAAATGGAGAACATCATGCTAAGTGAAATAAGCCAGAGTCAGAAAATCAAGGTTTGAATATTTTCTGTCATATGTGGTAGATAAAGCAAAGTAAGAGAAAGAAGGCAGTGGGAGTTGGGGATCAGATATCATAAATCTTTTATCAGGGCTGGGGATGTGGCTCAAGCTGTAGCGCGCTCGCCTGGCATGCGTGCGGCCCAGGTTCGATCCTCAGCACCACATACAAACAAAGATGTTGTGTCCGCCGAGAACTGAAAAATAAATATTAAAAAAATTCTCTCTTTCTTTAAAAATAAATAAATAAATAAATCTTTTATCAGAGGAGTAGAAGATGAATAAAAGGGAACAAGGAAGGATGGAAAAAGGGAGGAAATATGGAATACCTCTAACAAAATCATGTTATGTGTATATATAAATGTATCAAAGGGAATTTCAGCGTAATGTATATGTAGAAAGTACCTATCAAAAATAAATAAATAAAGGAGCAAAAGGAAGACCAGTAGAGTAGAGGAGGGGGGGAGACGGGGAAAGGGAGGAGGAGAGGAAAATGGGGGAATGGGAATTGAAATCAAGTTCCTTGCATGTATGATTTTATCAAAATGAACCCAACTATTATGTGTAACTATGATGCTCTAAAAAAGAAAAAAGAAAAGAAAAAAAAAAGAGGAGGCTGGGAATATAGCTCAGTTGCCTGAGTGCTTGCCTTGCACTCACAAGGCCCTGGGTTTAATCCCTAGCACCACAAAAAATAAGTAAATAAATAAATAAATAAGAGTTGATAGTTGAACCAAGACCTGAATGATAAGGGGCTTTCATGTTACGATCTGCAGGAAGGCATTAATTTTAAGCACAGAATAGCAGTAAAAGAAAGGTTCTAGGGGCTGGGGTTGTGGTTCAGCAGCAGAGCACTCACCTTGCACATGCGAGACCCCGGGTTTGATCCTCAGCACCATACAAAAATAAATAGATAAAATAAAGGTATTGTGTCCATTTACAACTAAAAAAAATATAAATATTAAGAAAAATAAAAAGAAAGGTTCTAGCTGGATGTGATGAAACATGCCTGTAATYCCAGGGATTTAGGAGGTTGTGGCAAGAGGATCACAAGTTTGAGGCCAGCTTGAGCAATTTACCAAGACCCCATCAAAATAAAAAATAAAAATACAGGCTGGGGATGTAACTTAGTAGTAAAGTGCCCCTGGGTTCAATCTCTAGTGTGTCTGTGTCTGCCTGTCTCTCTCTTCCTTTCCCCCTCCCTTTCTCCTCCTTCCTTCCCCTGCTCTCCACTCTCATACATGTGCACAAACACAAAGTTCTGGGGCAGAAATGAGCTGGTATGGTCAAGGATCAGAGAGAAAGCCAAAATGGCCTGAACACTGCTGGGAATATGGCATAAGGTGAGAGTCAGAGACAGAGGCCCAGATTAGGCAGAGTTTTATAGGTCCTAAGTAGGAGTTTAGATTTATTTTAAGTACAGTGGGAAACCGTGGAAAGAAATTTATTGTTGTTGTTGTGCTGAGGATCAAACCTCGAGGCTCATGTGTGCTAGGCAAGTGCTCTATTGTGGAGCCTCCAATGTAAATTTTTTTGGGGGAGGATACTTGACCACTGAGCCACATCCCTAGCCCTATTTTGTATTTTATTTAGAGATAGGTTCTTGCTGAGTTGCTTAGGGCCTTGCTGAGTTGCGAGGCTAGCTTTGAATTTGAGATCCTCCTGCCTCAGCCTCCCGTGCCACTGGATTATAGGCATGCACAACCGTGCACAGTCCCATTGTAAATTTTTAAGCATGGGAATGATATGGTTTGGTTTGCATTTTAATTTTTAATTTTGGTTACTGGGGATTGAACTCAGGGCACTTGACCACTGAGCCACATCCCCAGTCCTATTCTGTATTATATTTAAAGATAGGATCTCACTGAGTTGCTTACCTCTTCACTTTGCTGAGGGTGGCTTTGAACTCAAGATCCTACWGCCTCAGCCTCCCGAGGATTACAAGCATATGTCACCACAGTTGGGGTTTTGCATTTTTAAATGCTTATTCTGGCTGTTAAATGCAGAATGGATTAAAAGGGAAGGGGTAACCAGGTGCAGTGTTTACCTGTAAATATCAGTTACTGGGAGGGCTAAGGTGGGAGAGTTGCAAGTTCAAGGCTTGGTTGGGCAGCACAGTGAGGCCTATCTCAAAATAAATTAATTAAAAGTCTTTGGGGGAGGGCCAAGGTAGGAATAGGAAATCCAGTTAGAAGATATTCAGTAATTTATAGAAAACTAAGGCCCTGTTTAGGAGTTTAAGTGTGTCTGTTGGGACTCATGGCGACTCCTAAGGTCAGCCTTCTTATATAAAATAACAACTTGGATCTATGTAGAGAGGTTTCTTACTTCTCAACAGGAGTCCCAGGCATTTCTTGTTCTGCTCTCTTATACTGATCCTCTACCAGTAAATCTTTTCTCCCTCTTCTCCAGATCTGTGATCTGAATCATCCTTCAAGATTCATATCAAATTTTGGCTTCTCCATAAATAATCTGCTATGATTGACCTAGTCTGGAAAGATCTCACCCTCCTCTGGTCTTTATTTATTTGCCAATTATTATATGTGCAATCCAGTTGACAATAATTGTCTTATGTCATCTCCTATTGTCCTGGAATGTTATTTATATCTCTTATTGTTATATAACTTTTTACTTGTTTGTCTTGTCTCACAACCTGTTTGGTTTTTTATTTTTATTTTTTGGAACCAGGGAATGAACCCAGCAGTGCTTAACCCTTGAGCCACATCCCAATCCCTTTTTTTTTTGTTTTATTTTGAGATAGGATCTCACTAAATTGCTGATGCTTTTGCCTTAGCCTCCCAAGTATCTGGGATCACAGGCGTGCACCACTATACCTATTGAGCAGTTTGTATTTTTTTTTTTTTTTGTACGAAGGATTGATCTCAGGGGCACTCCACCACTGAGCCACATCCCCAGCCCTATTTTGTATTTTATTTAGAGACAGGGTCTCACTGAGTTGCTAAGCACCTTGCTTTTGCCGAGGCTGGCTTTGAACTCGAGATTATAGGCGTGCACCACTGCACCCGACTCCCATTTGTATTCTTGAGCACAGGAAATATATCTTAAGCCTGATCCCAAAATGCCTTGCCCATAGTAGATCTATAATTTGCTGTGACCCTAGGGACCTTTGGTTCTAGAAACTTTTCAAAGGCTCAATTGTTTTTGTAGTTATATCCAGGTTCTTAGCTCCTGCTAATTTCCTTGTGTCCCTCTTTCTCTGTTCTCTCTTCTTAGGCACCTCACTGTGAGCATGCTTTCTGCAACGCCTGCATCACCCAATGGTTCTCTCAGCAGCAGACGTGTCCAGTGGACCGTAGCGTTGTGACAGTTGCCCACCTGCGCCCAGTACCTCGGATCATGCGGAACATGTTGTCAAAGCTGCAGATTGCCTGTGACAACGCTGTGTTTGGCTGTAGTGCTGTTGTCCGTCTTGACAACCTCATGTCTCACCTCAGTGACTGTGAGCACAACCCAAAGCGGCCTGTGACCTGTGAACAGGGCTGCGGGTGAGATTCCTTCCCCTCAGCCCTACACTGATAAGGGGTTCTCATTTCTGTTCCTGCATCTGGATGCCCTGCCCACTTGCTAAGGAGGTTTTCTGTGCACGTAGGCACAGACATACCTGACCTTCTCAGTTCTCTGCCCCAAATCTCTCTTTCTTTCTTTCTTTTTTTTTTTTTTTTAAAGAGAGAGGGAGAGAGAGAGAGAGAATTTTTTTTTAATATTTATTTTTTAGTTATCGGCGGACACAACATTTTTGTTTGTATGTGGTGCTGAGGATCGAACCTGGGCCGCACGCATGCCAGGCAAGCGCACTACCGCTTGAGCCACATCCCCAGCCCAAATCTCACTTTCTTGCTGCTTTCTAAGTATGATCTTTTTGTTTTTGTTTTAATAAGAGGACAGCAATTCAGCAATCTAGGTGATAACACTAAAAATTGATTTACTTTATTTTTCCCTTTCAGGCTCATAATGCTTTCTATTCGTCAGGCTGACTGTAATTTCCAGGCTTCTCTCTTCTGCCCTATTTTTTCTTTTTTTGAGGTAGAAATATTTGATTAAATGCTGATAGCAGGGGCAGTGAATCTAGGATTTCTCAGAATAAATAAGTGCACAGGCAGAATCTATAGGAGAAAAAAAACATATGATTGATAAAACACTCTTGTCTTTTCTTGTCCTGGCTTTTACCTTTCTTGCTTCCCTGTACTCAGTTTTTTGTTTTTTTTTTTAAAGAGAGAGAATGAGAGAGAGAGAATTTTTTTTAATATTTATTTTCCATTTCTTGGCGGACACAACATCGTTGTTTGTATGTGGTGCTGAGGATCGAACCCGGGCCGCACGCATGCCAGGCGAACGCGCTACCACTTGAGCCACATCCCCAGCCCCCCTGTACTCAGTTTTAACAGGGTGGTTTAGCAATGTACCTAGAAATCCCCCTCTCAGTTTAGGAGGGCCATACTAAGTAGGAGTGGCTATTAAAGGCACAAGAAAATAATAAAAAAAGAAAAGGAAAAAATCCTCATAGTACTATATCTTAAAGGATGAAAGAAATTCAGATAAAGTAGAGCAAAGGGGAAGGAAGAAGTCTAGGGGAAGAAAGTTAATGGAATAAACAAAGGAAGGCCTGAAATGAATGTTAGATATCTGGGGTAGGAGATATCCAACTCATCAATTTTCTGCCACTGAATAGGCCATTTGCCTACATGACCCATTGAAAGGGCCTGTTCTACTCTTTCCCCACTTTGGACTGCAGCCTGGAGATGCCCAAAGATGAGCTGCCAAACCACAACTGCATTAAGCACCTGCGCTCYGTGGTACAGCAGCAGCAGACACGTATTGCAGAGCTGGAGAAGACGTCAGCTGAACATAAACACCAGCTGGCAGAACAGGTAGGGCTCAGAGAACATGGGGTAGAACATTTGCCTTATATTCAAATAACTGCATGCCTGTGGGTGACAGACACCACTGTGAACACATGGATTTGTGGTTGTGCTTGTAAGCCCTGGTGAGTGGGTATTTGACTTCCTTTCATCCCTTCATGTCATTTATTCACCTAACATTTATCAAATGCCTTCTCTGTAAAGGCACTTTGCTAAGCATTGGGGAGACAGCTGGAAACGAGATAGTCCTATTCTTGTTTTCCTGAAGCTAACAGTCTCATGTTTCTCAGATCTTTCAGTTGCCTTGGTTCTCAGATCTTGTCTGCCTAAACTATCATCCCTGGTTCTCCTTCCCTCCAACAGAAGAGAGACATCCAGCTGTTAAAGGCATACATGCGTGCAATCCGCAGTGTCAACCCCAACCTTCAGAACCTGGAGGAGACGATTGAATACAACGAGATCCTAGAGTGAGTGTCACTCAGGATATGGAGTCAGACTCCACGTCCTGGCACCAAAGCCTGAAAGGAGGAATAACGGGAGTGGCAGAGGAGGGCAGTAAGAAAGTTGGGCCAGGGCCACTGCTTCTCAGATTTGGGTGAAGGACAAAGGCAGAGGAGAAGAGGATAACCCTCAATTCCAGGACAGGATCTCTTATTCATTTGGGTGGATGGACAGGGAATCCTGCCCAAGGATGCAGTTTTTCCAGAACTAGGTGAGTACCCCCAAGAACAAAGCCCTGTTTTAAAAGCTGTGGAGTCATAAGAGGGCCAAAAAGAAATAGAAGATATTGTCCCTGTCTTCAGGTAGCTTACAACCCAGAGAAGAAGAGGGAGAGTACAAATCCAGGAAAGTGATCTAAAATGCCGCAAAAACAAGTGAAGTCTAAGATCCCTTTCAGTTCTGGAGTGCTATACAGTTCATAGACTAAATGTAAGTGTGAATTGATATATATATAGGGCAATAGTGCCTAGCGGGGACACAGTATAGAGGAATCAATAAACATTTGTTGAGCACCTACTACTGCGTGCTTGGCACTATATGTGCTAAGCATTTGGGATTTCAAAGAAAATTCAAGGATAGTGTAGACTCATGGAATTTAATTGGTGAGTAACTTGTGGTGACTTGGATGTGATCATCTAGGGAAAGATTTGGGGTTTCTGAGCCAGTACTGGAAGGAGAAGGAAGAATAGAAGCTAGCTAACTGCAGAGTGGGTGGTCATTCCTCTTAAGAAAAAAAGCCAAAGTAGAGAAAGGTAATGAGCTGAAATGACCACCACCAACCCCTTCCACACAGGTGGGTGAACTCCCTGCAGCCGGCCAGAGTGACCCGCTGGGGAGGGATGATCTCGACCCCAGATGCTGTGCTCCAGGCTGTAATCAAGCGCTCCCTGGTGGAGAGTGGCTGCCCTGCCTCTATTGTCAACGAGCTGATTGAAAATGCCCACGAACGCAGCTGGCCCCAGGGTCTGGCCACACTAGAGACAAGACAGATGAACCGGCGCTACTATGAGAACTACGTGGCCAAGCGCATCCCTGGCAAGCAGGCTGTTGTTGTGATGGCCTGTGAAAATCAGCATATGGGTGATGACATGGTGCAGGAGCCAGGGCTTGTCATGATATTTGCTCATGGCGTGGAGGAGATATAGGAGAGTTCGACCAGCTATGAGGAAGAGATGGAAATCGGGAAAACCCCATCACTCCAGCAGCTGGTTCTTGAGTCGTCCTCCCCACTCTCCTTAATGCCTCGGCTTACACTTGAGCCACACATCTCCCTGCTGTTCTGGCACTGAAGGGCCCTGGAGCACTTTGCTCMGCCTTTCAGGGGAGAAACCCAGATTCCTGCCTTTTGCCATATTTCTTCCCCTAAAATGTCTGTTAATTCTCAGCATGGGTGGGAAAGTCCCCACCTATGTATTTTCCTGCCTAGGGTCCCTGGTTCCAGGTATTTTCAGAAAGCACAAAGAGATTTATTTTCCCTAGAGRATCAGGCTGGAATGAGGAATTGCTAATCATCCCTGTACTCTAAAACCAGGGAATCAGAGCAGGCTGGCCTGTTGATTCTAAGCAGCATTTATAGGGCAGCTCTGAGGAACAGACATCTAGAAGAAAAGGTAAGGGTGGATCTAAAACCCTAGAAGTAAATAAGCCAGTAATTGGCTGTCACTGATAGCCCTTAGGGGAAGACTGGACCTCTGTGCCAAGCACATCCCTGTTCAGCCCACCTTAAAGGTGCAGGCTCCTGCTGGGTCTGCAGGTGCACAGGTTGGAGTGCTGGAAATTTCCAGATGAGCTCTGTTTTCCACTTTTTCATAATTAGGGAATGACAGGGTTTGGGGTAGGGGTTTGACTGTTGAGGTTCATATGCTCAGCAAGAAGCTGYTCTCTGGCTTTTGCTGAAGTCAGGTAGATACTGCCTCTTGTGTCATGCCCATAATAGTTCCATACACCCCTYTCTAGACCTGTGATTGTAGTTAGTTATTTTGATAAATTTCCTTTGGCTGTTGTTTGTTTATATTTCACAAATCACATCTGTCCCCCTCCCCCCCTTTTTTTTTTTAAAAAGAATGGCCTGGTTATGACTACCCCACTTGCTAGTCCAGCCACATTGTTGGCAATTTAATTTATTTACTTTTTTTTTTTTAAGAAAGGAAAAAAGAAAAAATATCAACAAAACTTAAAAACTTTTCTTTTGTGGTTCGTATTGTGGGGGTTCTGGATAGGGTGGGACAGGGAGGAGTCTGTTTTATATTTTTCCTTTTCAGCACAACCTTTGGCTTTAACATAGGAGGAGCCAAGGGAGTCCTTGACTGAATTTATACCTGCTCTGACACTCCATAACCTATCTGAGATGAGGAGTTATTCCTCTACTCCCATGATGGATGTGACATACAACATCAATGCCTATGCCCCTGAAGAAATTTGCTTCCAGCCCTTTAGGGTCTTATTGTAAAACCCTGGATTTAGAATATTAATTTTGAAGGCATCCATCTGCTGGGTGCAATGAAGCACATCTGTAGTCTTAGCTACTTAAAAAACTAAGGAAGGAGGATGTCAAGTTCATGGCCAGCCTCTGCAACTTAGCAAGACCCTGTCTCAAAATAAAAAAAATATATATATATATATATAAGGGTTGGAGATTTGGCTCAGTGGTAGAATACCCTGGGTTCAGTCTCTAGTGCCAAGAAAAAAATGGGGGAGTGGTGTGCATCTCCTTCTCAAGTTTCCCTGGAGCTGTATAGCTGGGTTCTAAGCCTCACCAGGCAAGGGGTAAGAATTATCTCGTGTCTCCAAGAACAGGCTGTGCTTTGCCTCACCCTTGTCCACTTAAGGATTTCAACTTCATTTTATGCTACCTGAGGCATTCCTTGATCCCTATGATTAGTGACTGACAGAATAAGTGAAGGGCAAGGTAGTAGGTGTGATTATTTTAATATGAAATATGTGGGAGTGGGGTTTGAGAAAAATCAAAGGGCTTCTCTCCACCATATAACAGCTTCTCTTTTTGGAATTGTATTCCAGGCCAACTTGCTATTGGTCTGGGTAGTCAAGTCATGGCATCACTTCAGTTGGGGAGGAGGGATACAGCTTGAGGGGAGTCGGGAACCAGCCATATTCTAGCTTTAGGACATGGTGCTCAGGAATTTGCAGACACTGCTATAATTATTAGTCTGGTTACATTTCCTTTTGCCCCTTCCTGCCTTACCAAGTTTCATAGTCTCCTGTCCTTAACCCTCAGGTGGAGCTGGAAAGCTCAGTTGAGGCTTCCCTACTTACCCTTTGCACTAGTGTCTCTGCAGGTTGCTGGTTGTGTTGTACATGCTCTTCCATTGTGTTGACTGCACTAATAATAAACCTTTCACTCAATCCTCTAAATTCTTAATTCACCATTACTTGGTAAAGTTTCTCATCTGTTTGGCTTTTTTTTCCCACTCTTAATTACCCTTCTCCTTGCTTTGTAAACCTTACCTTTACCTTAGATCTGATCTTTGTTTTGGAAGCTATCTATCTAGGAATAGTGTGTACTCTACATCTGCTTCGCTCTGTGTGCTCTCCTGCATCCTCCCCCTCCTCTTATTCTGTATCAGCCAAAGTTCTCTCCAGTGATCTGAACTGTGTTCTTTCTAAGGTGTGCCTTTACCCTAAATTCCATGTCTTCTCTGTGTTGCTAGGCTTGGGGTTACTTTTTGTAGAAGGTGCACACCTTTTCCCCCTATCCCACAAGCACCTTTGCTTTGAAATCTGGAATTTCATTGCAGGCAGAGAGGCCTCCACTCCCTGATACCTCCTAACCAAGAAAATAAATGTGAGGAAGGGAACCTGAAGCAACTATACCTGCTGTGGTCATCAAACGCTGATAGTCTTTTTCTAAGCATTTTCTGGCACCACCTTCTCCCCATCATGAGAAGGAACTCCCCACACAATTATATTTTAAGTTTGTTGAGCATTTGTCATGCAGCGAATGTAAGTCTAATAATATTCTAGAAACTGGTGAGTTGGAGTCAATACTTTGATATACATAAGGTATGATTAGAACATAATGATGGGCACATCACAACATAGAGCTTAAGAGTAATATTTGTACCCAAGTAATACTACTAGTCCTGTTTTCCCTGAAATTCCTCCAAAATTACTTTGAGAACCTGCTATTCATTCTTTGGAATGTTATGAATGGTACCATATCTTCTTCCTTTGGGGTAGAACTGTTTTTGGAAATATATTCATTGAATGTCTATCCTGCAAGATAACAGTGAAAATGGGAGGCTTGGGGTATTCATGTGGTAAAATGGCACTTACCTTCAAAGAACTTACTCCCTAATGGCAATGAATATATCATAAGATGCCTTATGATAAGAATGTATGGACAGAGGAAAATAAAACCAGTGGTTTTTTTTTTTTTTTTTTGTGGTATAAGAAATTGAACCCAGGAGTGCTTTACCATTTAGTCACATTCCCAGCCCTTTTTATTTTTTTTTAATTTTTGCTTAGAGCCCTCCTAAGTTGCTAAGGTTTGCCTTGAACTTGAAGTTGGAATCCTCCTGTCTCAGCTTCCCAAATTGCTGGGATTATAGGTGTGCATCACTGCACCTGGCCCAGTATACCTTCTTTATTTGAATTCCCAGAACAACCTTTTTTATATAATACTAATTTGTTCAAGAGATTAGGCCAGTTGTCCTGGAGAATTGTCTTTTCAATAGATTGACTGCTTTTATTTTGGCGGGATGGGGGGGTGGGACTGATAATTGAACCCAGGATTGTACCACTAAGCTACATTCCCAGCTTTTTCTATTTTTTTACTTATTTTTAATTTTTTTTTTTTTGTAGTTTTAGGCTGAGATCATGCCTTTATTTTATTTGTTTATTTTTTATGTGGTGCTGAGGATCGAATGCAGTGCCTCACAGTGCCCTGCCATGGAGCTATAGCCCTGCCCCAAGCATTTTTTATTTTGAGACAGGGTCTTGCTAAATTGCTAATACTGGTCTTGAATTTGCTATCCTCCTGCCTCAGCCACCCACATTGCTGGGATTACCAGGGGTGTGTGCCACTGTGGCATTCCCCCCCAACCCCCCAGTGCTGGAGACTGACTCCAGGGCCACATGCCAGGCAAGGGCTCCACCACTGACTGGATGCTTTTACAGAGAGTACTTAAAATGATTCCTCTAATCCCTGTTTTAACAAACCCTAAAATCCCTAAACTTAACAAAATTAGAATCTTGAGAGATTCAAGCCAAACATTTCTGAGGGTAGAAGACATCACTGGAGAGTCTTTATATTTCTTAACATCAGAAGATATGCTCGATTTCGCCACCTTTAGTTTGATCTTTTCACTGTACAGTTGTAGGAAGATTTTTTTTTAAAGATGGCTAAATGAAAACTACATATCTTTTCTATTTAATTTTTTTTTAAGTTGTAGATGGACCTTTATTTTTATGTGGTGCTGAGGATCAAACTCAGTGCCTCATACATGCCAGGCAGGCGCTCTACCACTGAGCCACAACCCCAGCCCCCAAAAATACATACCTTGAGAGAAGACACCCGGCAGTGTAGGTCTGCCATACAAGAATAAGTACCAAATATTGCCAATTTTAATGATTTTTCAAAAAACTCTGGACATCCTAACATTTATGTAACATCTCACAACTTTTAAATCTTGGCTTGCTTTAAGAAAATGCTTCAAGGGGCTGGGGTTGTGGCTCATTGGTAGAGTGCTCACCTAGCATGCATGAGGCATTGGGTTCGATCCTCAGCACCACATAAATGTAAAATAAGGATATTGTGTCCACCTAAAACCAAGAATATTTAAAGAAAGAAAATGCTTCGAAACAAAAATGCTTAAAGGTCTAAAACATTGCAACCTGTTTTGAGATCACAATATAAAACAATTGAAGGGCTAGGTGCAGTGGCACATGCCTGTAATCCCATCAACATGGGTGACTGAGGCAGGAGGATTCAGTTTGAGGCCAGACTTGGCAATTTAGTGAGACTCTGTCTCAAAATAGAAAGGGCTGGGGATATAGCTCAGTGAAAGAGCACCCCTGGTTTCAATCCCCATTGCCAATAAAAACAAAACAGAGATAGCCAGATGCAGTGGTGCATGCCTATACTGTCAGSTATTCAGAAGATAGATGGAGGAGAATCCCAAGTTCAAAGCCATCTTCAGCAATTTAGTGAGATCTTGTCTTAAATACAAAGGACCTGGGGCTGGGGTTGTGGCTCAGTGGTAGAGCACTTGCCTACCATGTGTGAGGCACTGTGTTCAATTCTCAGCACCTCATATAAAGAAATAAAAATAAAGGTCCATTTACAACTAAAGAATATATATATATAGACTCAGTGGTAGTGTGCCCCTGGGTTCAATCTCCAGTATCACAAAAAAAATTTTTATGGGCTGGGGTTGTGGCTCAGTGGTAGAGCACTTGCCCAGCACATGTGAGGCACTGAGTTCGGTCCTCAGGACCATGTAAGAATAAATAAATAAAGTCATTATGTCCATCTACAATTAAATATTTTTTTWAAAAAGTGAAGGAAAACAATAGGATATAATCTGGAGCATAATTTATCAAAGGATCTAATGAAAGGTTAGTAGAAATAATTTGAGGCCAGTTATAGAAGTTGCATTATAGGGGATTTTAATTTTACAGGTAAGTTTTTGAGAGGAGGAATGGCTTTTTTTTTTTTTCAACAATGGTATTTTTTTTTTTTTTTGAGAGAGAGAGAGAGAGAGAATTTTAATATTTATTGTTTAGTTTTCGGCAGACACAACATCTTTATTTGTATGTGGTTCTGAGGATCGAACCCGGGCCGCACGCATGCCAGGCAAGCGCGCTACCGCTTGAGCGACATCCCCAGCCCGAGGAATGGCTTTCAACTGATTCTGGTGGTTGTGAGAAGAAAACAAATTGGTGTCAGCAATATTAACAAGCTTTCCAGTAATTTATGCAGAGAGGATAAGCCCTTGAAATAYAGCAGGAAAGAAGGGACAAGAGACATTTGGGAAGAAAAAATAAATAAGGTCTTAACTGATTAGATTTTTCTCAACCCAACAATGAAACTGTATCTGTCATGTGCTAGACATGGTGCCAGGCATTTGAAGTATGTAAATAATTGAAAAATAAGATGTAATTTGCAGCTTACTAGGTAATGTAAACTTAAACAATAAGAAATGCAGTATAGTATGTTGCTAATAGATAGGGACTAAATATAACAGGACAAGAAAGGAGTCATCTGTCTATTTGAAGGACATGAAGGGGAAGGCTTCTCTGGAATCATGAGCTGAATTCTGAACCTGTCACATTTGGCATTAAAGAAAAGGGGTAGTGGGCAGATTGAGCATTTACTGTGAGACAGGCATTGTTCTAAATATTAGATATTAATTTAATAATCCCACTAACCCACCCATACTGGGTTGCTGCTCCATACTGGGGATTGAACCTGGAGCACTCTACCACTGAAGTACAATCCCGTTTTGAGACAGTCTTACTAAATTGCCAAGGCTAGCCTCAATTTGCCACCATCATGCCTCAAACTCCAAGTAGCTGGGGCTGCAGACATATCCCTGGCCCAACAACTTTTTAATTAAGAGGTTTTATCATCAACTCCATTTTTTATGTGGGGAAACTGAAGCAGAAGGCAAAGTTCACAGAGTTAATAATCAAAACTAGGATTTGAGCCCAGAAAAATCATTCTAGAACCTGAGCCTCTAACTATTACACATAAACAAAAATGAGTCAAAGATAAAAGACAGGTTTCTAGTATAAGTTGATGAGAACACGGTGCCATTAACCTGAATAGGGAGAAGAGGATGAGTAGTTTTGAGTTAATTTGGRGAACTGGGTTGGAAAACTGGGTTGGAAAATCCAGGAAATGGATCTGGAGTTTAAGAGCAAGAAATTAGAGCTAAGGACATGAATTGGGGAATTATCTGCCCAGAGGAGATCAAGAAATTCTAGTACTAGGAATCCCAGCAGTCATCTGGAACAAAACAGGCGATGCATTTGATAAGGTTGACTAATTTTTAAAAAATAATTCTGAAGTAATGAATCATTTTAAGATAGCTCATAAACTAGGCTGGGAAGGAATTTCAGAAATGTTTTCTGTCATTGCAACATCCCTGAAACAACTGTAGGTTGAGATCATTTCCACTCAAGTCCTAATTTTATTTGCTTTATAGGATAAACTTCAGGGGTTTATCCAAGCCTTTTAAAATTTAGAGTAAGTCAACAACTTGGAAGAGCACAATATTAAACAATTGCACATGAGATTTTCCCTCATTAGCAGCTTTTTTTTTTTAATGCTGGAAAGCAATTTTGATTACAATCTAAGAATTTTTAAAAATATTTTTAGTTGTAGATGGATAAAATATATTTTTTATGTGGTGCTTAGGATAGAACTCAGTGCCTCACGTATGTGAGGCAAGCACTCTGCTGCTGAGCCCAGACCCAACCCCAATCTTAAGAATTTATACTTGAAAATATCACTATACAGTGGTAATAGCTCTGGCCTAATGTGGTAGCAAATATCTGTAATCCCAGCAAGTTGGAAAGCTGAGACAGGAGGATCACAATTTCAAGGCCAGCCTCTGCAACTCAGCAAGACCCTATCTCAAAATTTTTTAAAAAAGGGTCTGGGGGTATAGCTCAGTGGTAGAATGCCCTGGGTTCAATCTCCTGCATTTATCTCTCTCTCTCACACACATATACATATCTGTCCAATGGTTTCTATTAATGTCTAAAATAACTTTGGGAGGCAGAAACCAGATGACAAGGGATGAAGGTACTAGGGACTTTGGCAGGAAGTATGTATTTTATCTGAAAAAAAGTACAAAACAATTTGGTAATTTGAAATTGTCAAATGTAGGATTTTCTCTGTCATGAATTCATGAAGGAATGGTTACCTGGAGTATGAGAATTTGAAGGTGATGCAAAAATATTTATGGAAGGTTCTTTAGGAGGCTGAAATGAGTGGGATGGTAAGCCTAGTAGAGAAGGCAACTTCAGGGAAGATAAGCAAGGTCAAATACTAAAGTAGGAACTAAAGCACTGGGTGGAATATAAATATGTAAAAATGGTTTGGGGAGTGGGTCAGGTCATACAATATAAAACGGATAGATAGGACTTGCTGGGCTAGAAGGAAAAGGGTGAGAAGTTGGGGTGGCCTACAGAGATGGTAGAAATTTCAAATTATCTATTGTACATGAAGGTTACAAACCCTCACCCTCAGAAGTTAGAGGGAAAATAAATTTGAGAAGGGAAAAAGATCATCAAGTATTTAGCCACCTCTGCCACAGTCCCCTTCCTGGTCTAGAGCCTCCATTTTGTAAATCTTGAAGCCTTCTTCCCTTCACAACATGGTTGTTGGTTGCCCTCTGCTGGTCAATTTTGATTTTGGCTCTCCAGATATTTAAGCCTGAGGGTATATCCAAAATGGCAGGAAGTAGAAAACTGAGCCTGTTAGATTCTATTATTTCATTACATGTTTGATCACATCTGTGTATGAGATATTTTCTTGCAAAGAAACAAAATACACTGTTTTCCTAAGTCTCAAGAAATTTTTATATTACTGTAAAAAACACCAATTTGGTCAGGCATGGTGGTGAACTCCTGTGAACTCGGGAGGCTGAGGCAGGAGGATTGCAAGTTCCAAGCCAGCTTCAGCAATTTAGCAAGGCCCAAGCAACTTAGTGAGACACTGTCAAAATTAGAAATAAAATGCCCTGGGTTCAATCCCTACCCGCCCACCCACCCCCAAAAAGTAAAAATAAAAATTAAAGCCAAACAAGATTAAAATGTGTATACTGAGTGGCTTATTTTTGTCAAGAGTTTATATTCTACAGAGGAACAAAGACTTCATATAAGATTAGGGAGAGGGGCTGGGGATGTGCCTCAAGCGGTAGCGTGCTYGCCTGGYATGCGTGCGGCCCGGGTTCGATCCTCAGTACCACATACAAACAAAGATGTTGTGTCCGCCGAAACCTAAAAAATAAATATTAAAATTCTTTAAAAAAAAAAGATTAGGGAGAAGGATGTGTGCAGGTGGTCAGAGACTTTCTAAGAGAACCAACACTTAGATGGATACCGAGTAGATGAGGATGAGAAGGTTATTTAATGCAGAGAACAGCATATGAACAAGGTCAAATAACTATACTAGGAAACTAAAAGAATGCTGGTGGCTGTGAAAATTGAAGATTGACTCTGGGCACAGGGGCACATGCCTGAAATACTAGTGACTTGGGATGCTGAGCCAAGTTGGAGGTCCTGTACCCAAAATATTAAAGGGCTGGGGATGTGGCTCAGTGATAAAGCATCCGTAGTTTCAAAGCCTGCAACCGCAAAAATAAATAAAAAATAAAATGGAAGACTGTTGAGAGAAAAGGGTCAGATCATGCAACACAAAAAAACAGCCATGGCAAGACTTAAGGTCAGCTGCAGTGTGATTACTTTAGTATGGCTTACAAGTACCACTACTTCCCAACTGAAAGCTTTGCTAAGTGGTGGGCCCAACCTGAAACTCACCTTAGAGAAACATATTTAGAAAGCAAAATAAACAGAACTTGTTCTTAATTTTGTGGAAGCATGTTAAGATATTCCTTGCATCATACTCAGTGAATGGTAGTTGACAGACTGTTAGGTTCCAGCTGGAGTGATCTAGAGCATCAAGGAGGAGAGCCCAAAGGATAAGCAAGATTTTGGAGTGGTGAGAGTGATGCTGGGAAGTTCAGCTGAGTAGTGGTATGAGGGTGAAAAACTCTTAAGATATAAATGTGCACAAAGCTCTGACTTACCCTGAATTGCCTGCTCTTGTGATCCTTTTTGGAGAAGATGCACTGCACAAGAAATGTAGTACAAAAACAAGTATCTTAGATTAAGAACTAAGTGATGTTGAGTAAAGGAGAGCATAAGAACAGATGAATTCCCTAGTTTGGTTAACACAGAGAACAGTACCTGGTACACAACAAGCACTTTATAAAAAAATAAAATTATTTTCCAACTCCCTGGCTCCAGCTGGATCTGCAGTGTTTATGTTCCAATAGACCCCCTCCTATGTCCGCCTCAAGAAAATACTAATGAAAATGCCCTCTTTCTTGGGTCTTCAGTGGCCTCAGACTTTGAAGGTGTTACTTCCAGTTACAAAATTCAGAGGTGTAGCCGGCCTGGCGCAGGCCTGTAATCCACCAGGCCTGTAATCCGGGTGGCTCTAGAGGCTGAGACAGGAGGATCAAAGCCAGCCTAAGCAACTTGATGAGGCCCTTAGGCAACTCAAGAGACCTTGTCTCTAAAAAAAAAAAAAAAAAAAAAAATAGGGCTGGGGATGTGGCTCAGAGGTCGAGTGCCCCTGAGTTCAATCCCTGGTACCAAAAAAAAAAAAGGAAAGAAAGAAAGAGATAATTCAGAGATGCTCTATTTTCCTAGAAATTCCAGGTTTGATGATTATTGCACAAGCTCACATTCCCTGAAAAAATTCAACTCTTCTTCACTCAAATCCTTCCCCATCCCTTCAAAAGAATGAAACGTGTGTCAACATCTGCTAGCAAATCATAAGTTACAGAATTCTGAGGGTCTGGTATCCTAGCAGCCAATACAGCTCTGCATAATTAAGCTTTCCGAGATCTGGGACCACCCCAGTCCTCCCCAAGTGCAAAGATGTGACCTTTAGCCTCCCTTTATGGAGATGGAAAGGGAAGTGCTGGAAAGACACGTGCGAGTACAGGGGTTCCTCTTATATGCTATGAAGATGGAGGCGAAAAAAAGCCACCGTCACGAACAGGATTCGAACCTGTGCGGGGAAACCCCATTGGATTTCGAGTCCAACGCCTTAACCACTCGGCCACCGTGACTCCCAAAATCGCGCTTTGCCGCGCGCTTACAGAAAGGGTCCGCACGGAGACCGCGGACGGCGCTGGGCCGTGGAAAGCCGGGCCGCGGCCCACATGCACACACCTTGAGACTATCCCGCCTCGCTCCTTACCTCTCCGCTATGCCACTCAAAGGAAAAGAGTCGGGTGCACCGGCTGACCCGGCGGGAGTCTCCTGCTTGTGTGGGTGGATGAGGGGGTGTCTTAGGGAGCGCAAATCTACTTAGAATCGATGGCAAGGCCTTCGGACCAAGCAGTTGATGAAAGCGTCTGGGCCCTCACGGTGGCGGCTAAGGGGACTTCTCGGGTTAAGAAGTGGTAGGGACTGAGTGGAACAGGCGTGGCGGGTGAGGGAGACGAGGGAGTAAGCAGCACTTGGTAATGCATGCAGGGAAGGAATTTCTCGGGGAAAGGGGTTTGGAGTTCTTCGGGATAAAAGCTCCTCCGTGAGGTTAGGACCGTGCCAAGTGAAGACCACTCCGGGTTATAAGTTGGGGCCCCTTCAGGCGACGGGCTTCCTCCCTTACATAGGATAGAGGACTAGCACACTCGGGGATGAAAGGCAAAAAAAGAGGGAAAGGGCTCTTCGCGGCGAGTAAAGGGCGCTCTCAAGAAAGTGGCGCCCCCACCAGGAAGCAGCCGCCTCCCCGGAGGCCGGCACCGGGGAGGCCGACAGGGTCTGCGCCGCGCGGGGCGCTGGGCCACCGCCGCCGCCGCGCCGGGACTGCCGGCAGGGGGCGCTACGCGGGCCGGGGCCGGCCCAGGCGGCGGGAGGCGGCGGCCGCGGCGGCGGGAGGCGGCGGGAGGCGGGCGGAGGAGGCGGGAGCTGAGCGGGGCGGGCGGCGGCGGCGGGGCCCGAGCCCGAGAAGATGGCGGTGCGGAAGAAGGACGGCGGCCCCAACGTGAAGTACTACGAGGCCGCGGACACGGTGACCCAGTTCGACAACGTGCGGCTCTGGCTCGGCAAGAACTACAAGAAGGTACGCGAGCAGGGCCGCGCGAGGGCCGGGGGCGGGACAAAGGGAGCGCGGCCCGCGGCTCCCCGGGGTCCTGCCCACCCTCCAGCCGTCCCGGCCCCTCCCAGCGGCCTCCCTGGCAGCCCCCAGCGTGTCCTCTGGCGCGCCCGCGCCCCTCCCCGCCCCCACCCCACCCCCGCCCCCACCGCTGTGCCCTCTGTCCCTGTTTTTCTCCACTGTCGGGTGCCTGCAGCCCACCCTCCCTTAAGCCATCGCCTTCACGGCTTTCCCGAGAGAGACTGCGGGCCGGGGGTGGACGAGGTGCCGAATGGGCGCCTTCCCCCTCCTGTCCAATGTACCCGCCACTGCGCCCGCCAGGGCTCCCCACGGAGCCAGGTACCAGCGGGGCTAAGGCCTCCCTGGTGCTTTGTGTATGTTCTGAGAGAGATGATGAAAGCAGGAGGGTAAACAGCCACAGAGCAGGCCGAAAGGGTCTCCACCCGGGTATCACCTATCTCCACGGCTCATCACCCACCTCGCCTCCATCTAAAGGGCAACAAAACCTCCCAGGGGGAAGGGTACCGAGTTTCTGGGCAGTGGTCCCTGCTAAGACCAGTCCTAGGCTTCACAAAGAAGTCACCGGCAGCCTAGATTTGCATTGCTTTGGGTTTAGGGTCCAGAGGCACAGATAAGCTTTATATCTCCAGTCCCCACCCCCCCACCCCATAACTGGGGATAATGAAGTAGTGAACAAAAAAAAAAAAAAAAAAAGGCTTAAGAAACCTTACCTGTCTTCTACCAGGCCTCTTCCTGATGCCTTCTTTGTGTCTAAGCCCGATTTTTTCTGTAGATGGCCTGCCTGTCTTCCTTCTCACTGTCCCCAGTTATGGGTTCTTTTTCCTAGCTTTTTTCAGCTCCCCAGTTCTTACTGCCCAGCTTTGCTGCCTGTCAGAAGTGTGATGGGTGATTTAGGAGAACTCCACACTAATCCTGGTTATGAGCCTGCCCCTGATATCCCTCCAGGTTTCGCTGGAGTCAGAATCCTGACAAACAGCTGCCAGGCTGTGGCTTGTCTGTACCCCAATGTGAGGCTCTAGTTCCCAGACTTCTGAAACCTTTAACCTTTTGAAGGGAGATCAATCAGTCTAGGGCTTTAGACTCCGCCCTGGGGGGATTGAAAGCTTGTGACCTGGTTCATCTTTCATGCTTTTAGCTCTTTGTCATTTACCTTTCTCTTTACAGATCTTTTTACACCTCCCACTGAGAGGTGTCCTTTTCTCAGTGAAAACAAGGGTCAATAGGTAAAGAGAAAGTCTCCTAACTGAGTTTTAAATTAGAACAGAAGGCTAGGATGCTAGGTAGTATGATAGGGAAGTTTTTAAGAAGGCCCAAGGTTGCTTGTCTTGGATATGGCTTCCTCAGGATAGACATCTCCTCATCAGGCTTGGGAGTAGGTGGTCCTTCCCAGCTAGGAGGGCCTAGGAAGACATTTATGCCCAGGTCTAGCAGAAGCAGAATGCACAAGCTCACTCAGCTTGACCTACCTTACTTCCTTGCTTCTTTTTCTTTAGACTACATGGTAAGGGTAATTGTTGCATTCTCAAAGTTCCCCTAAGAAATACACTGTTGTCCTCACTTAGAGCATCTAAGGGGTGTTGCTTCTCTGGCCTGAACTTAATAGTTTTAGAATTTTACAACCCTCTGTGCTGTTGGCTGGAGATCAGGTGCCAAGGTAACAGGATCCTGCAACTCCAATTTCAGGGTGTAGCTGAGGAAGAGTAGGACGCTTTCCTTACTGTCAGCATCCAATCCTGGCAGCCTGGGCTGGTAGCAGCAGAATCCAGTTTTCTGGTTAAAGGTTTCTAGGGTCTCCTTTCTACCATATTCTTTGGAAGAGAAAGACACCATTTTCTATGCCCCAGAGTCTTCCAGAGCCCCTGGGGAAGAAATATGGGAGATGATAAACCATTATCTGGGTCTATTTTTCTTTCCTTTCTCTGCCTTTTCCCAGTATATACAAGCTGAACCACCTACTAACAAGTCCCTGTCTAGTCTGGTCGTACAGTTGCTACAATTTCAGGAAGAAGTTTTTGGCAAACATGTCAGCAATGCACCGCTCACTAAACTGCCGGTGAGTGCAAAAACAAGGAGATCAGCCCTCCAAATTGGAGAGGGAATTGTATTTGTAAAAATATTTGAAATTTTCATTATTTTTAAAATTTGGGTTGTTACCTATTACAGTCTCTATCCTTGGTCAGGGTATGGTGGTTTGGCCTTGTCCCCAGTTTACCATCCCTTAGTAATAGTTGTGTAACAAGTTACCTTGTATCTCTTGATATAGTTAAAAGGGTTTAAGATTGAAATTTGCACAGGTTTGTGTTCAAATCTTGGCTTTGCCATTTGATGGCTCAGTGATCTTGAGCAACCTTTGTGTGTCTTGGTTCCTTCATCTCTAGATAGAATTAATATACTTACTTATAGGATTTCTGCAAGAGTAAATGAGGTAACCCAGTAAAGTGGTTGGCACAAGGTGATGCTTTGTATACATTGGTTTCTTTCTCTTCTAGGCCATATAACCCTTTATATTGTCTCAAGGGTTAAAGAATTACAGCTTTAAGAGGGAGATCAGTTCAACATGAATTTTTAAAAATATTTTTTAGTTGTTGATGGTGTCCACATGGTGACACCATACCTTTATTTTATTTTTTATGTGGTACTGACATAAAAATAATTGAACCCAGTACCTCACATGTACTAGGCAGGTGCTCCACCATTGAGCCACAACCTCAGCCCTCAACATGGGATTTTGAGAAAGGATTTTTAAGTGATAAAGAGAATTTACAATTTAATTCTCATATACTTCTTCCCTGTCTGGATTTTATAGATCAAATGTTTCCTAGATTTCAAAGCAGGAGGCTCCTTATGCCACATACTTGCAGCTGCTTACAAATTCAAGAGTGACCAGGGATGGTGAGATGCCTTATCTCTATGCTTCTTATATTTAGATTAAAGAGAAACTCCTATTTTGATTCCCTGGGGTCTTTCTGGGGTGGGGGAACACAGGTAGAAATGCTATGTGTCTCTTATTTTGTTAGATCAGTCAGAAAAATAGTTGGGAGCCAGAGCAAAAAGAGATTCCAAGAGTGAATGTGGGTGTGTCTATGTGTGTATCTGAGCATGTATGTTATAGAGAAAGAGAGATTCTTAGGTTGGTATCTCAAGCTTTTCTTCACTCTTTTAGACTAAGTATAGAAGGATTTATGGAGTTGAGATCAGGAATCCCAGATCTTGGGTTCTTTTGGCAACAGCTGTGACCAAGAGTACCTCCTAATTTCCCATGTTAAGGAGTTACATACCCTCACCTTATCCCCAGACATGAGCTATATCACTCACTAGATTATTGTCTCTTCACAAGGCGGCGTTACGATTTCCAGAATCCATCACGCATGGACCGCAATGTAGAAATGTTCATGACCATTGAGAAGTCTTTGGTACAGGTAATACTCACGAACCTTCCCCATGCATCATCTTCCCTCAGTGAGAATCCAAAGGACTCCTTCTGCATAACCTCATCTCATCTATTTCTTCATCCCACAGAATAATTGCCTGTCTCGACCTAACATTTTTCTGTGCCCAGAAATTGAGCCTAAATTGCTGGGGAAATTAAAGGACATTATCAAGAGACACCAGGTGAGTGGCAGGTCAGGAGAGGTTTCAGAAATTCCATGACTCTTTTCCTACTATTTTCCATATCAAGCAGCAGCTCCAAAAAAGACAGTAGAATGACTCGGACATAACTTTTCTATGTTCTTATATGATACACCACCAGTGTAACTCTGCATCATGTACAACCACAAAAATGGAAAGTTATATTCCATCTACAATATGTCAAAATACATTCTACTGTCATATATAACTAAAAAGAACAAATAAAAAATAAAGAAAGAAATTGTAGGAAGTAATGTTAATTAAAAATACTTTTTAATTGTCAAAAAAAAGCAACACTTAAATACCACTTTCCACTACATAGGTGGATTTCTCTACTTGGCAAAGACTAGAGTTAAAGCATTGAGCTTGGGCTGGGGATGTAATTCAGTGTTAGAGTTCTTGCCTAGCATTCATGAGGCCCTGGGTTCAATTCCTAGTACTAGAAGAAAAAAAAAAAAAGTATTGAGCCTTTTATTCCTGTTTCTCCCATTTCCCAATGCTGACACTTTTGATCACTGTTCCTAGAGACTGAATTGGCCTGGGGGAAGAAGTATCCACTTCCACTAAACTAGAGATTGCCTGATTTCATATAAATGAAATCTCTGTTCTTTAGAACTAAATAATAACAAGCAGATGCCATTAATATGAACATTTAGTCAACTTAAAAATTTCCCAGGTGTGGATTATCATCTATTCAGAGGATTATCTATAGCAATACTTTTTTGTATTGGTATTTTTTAAAACATTTTTTTGTAGTTGTTGATTTACAGAATGCCTTTATTTTATTTGTTTATTTTTATGTGGTGTTGAGGAGTGAATCCAGTGCCTCACACATGCTAGGCAAGCTCTCTGCCACAGAGCTACAGCCCCAACCCTGTACTGGTATTTTTTGTGGC